ACTAAAATGAATTCAGTTGCTTTTCGCTTGTACAATTCTATTGCCGTTAATACAACACGAACAACATTTTTAAGGCATACAATTTCGAGGTTATATTCTTCCAAAAAAGGTACGAAAAGCTTTTAGATTTAATGTCAACTGTTCTGTTGCTTCATCCAAGCCTATTGTAAATGTTATTAACCTACAGGAAAGTCTCGGAAGAAAGGAGGTAACATAGTTTATGATCCAGAAATGGCAGATGGATTAGTAGACTTTGAAAAAATAAGAGCAAACATGGAAAGTGCAGTTATGAAATTACAGCAAGATTTTACAACMAAGTATAATGTTGAAATGAAGTCTGGTAAGGTGTTATGCAAGACTTAAGATCATCTGACATAAGCACTTCCAGTCAATAAACTCACACCCTTTGAGACCAGGGGTAGGGCAGGGACTTTGACATAGCCTCTAGTTAAAACCTGGCCACTCTAGGGCAGATATGACAGATACTGGCACTCTACCATGAAAATTAGAATGAACGGACAATTGATAACTGTTCCAAAACTTTACTCTGGCTTCCAGATGCAGCAAAATCAGTCTAAAATGAATTCCTGRTACTCAAGATAAATTCTAAAAGTTTAGGTGATACTTTTTGACATTTGAAGACTGCAATACACATCCACCATGTTGGTGCACAGAAGTTGTACATAATCAAGGTCACTAATGTGTAACATATTACATTCTTACCAAATTACTGCTCGTGCACTCTAATTCCTTCAAATTTGACTGGAATAAAGTACTTTTAAATGCTCTTTAAGATTATTTATTAAGGAGTCAAAATGTGCTTTTTGAAGCTACTGATTTCAGAGTGCTCACTAAGAATAAGAGCTCATTTCTTTTGAGCATCCAATAGTTTTACACGTAGATGGATATATCAGGTTGATGCACAAGATACCAAGGTTTTATTTCTCTTTTAGATAGCCTGGATAAAGTGCGTGTCTCTACTATAGAAGGCAAAGTTCCATTAAGTGAATTAGCTGTCATAAATAGGAAACAAGACAATATGTATGTTATTGATATGTCACTCTCACCTGATGTAAGTATGATAGTAACAATAAGCACTACAGGGGGGTGAATACAGTGGTATTATGATCCATTATATATATACCTGATCCAGTCAATTCCAAATGTGGCCCTGCCAAAAAGAATTGCCACATTCCTCACAATTTTGGGCAAATAACACATTAATGGAAACAATATTAGAGTTCGTCAAATGCTAGCACTTCTCTCAGGTCTGATGAACTCCAATTTTACCTAGAAGATCACAATGTAAAAAACTCAAACCAAGTGCAAAATAAATTGAACTTTGAGAAATTTAACATTCACAATTAATTTATTTTATCAAAAGACACAGTAACATATTAAAGTGCTACCTGTKGTTGTCAGTGACAACTGGTCRACCTGTTTTGTAGATATTTGGCATCAGATTCCTTACTGGACKGAATTCCTGGAAAGAAGTCTTGTCATACGCCTGTAGGAGGGGATGGCCACCTTTGGATTTTGACTKGTACATTATTRCATTATTATTAAAGCAATTCTAATTCTTAACAACATGTTAATCCATTCAGCTGTATTTTTATTCCTACAGGTTACAAAAGCTGCCCTTCAAGCAATTAAAGAATCAAGCATTAATTTAGAGCCTGTTGTTGCTGGTGATTGTATAACAGTGCCTATTCCAAAGTAAGTTAAGATTCTCACCAATAACTCCAGCAATAAATCACATGWCAAGAAGAAGCAAAGCATTAAAAGTATTTTCAAAATCTTACATCAGAAGTTCATAAATCCTAATGGGTACTGAATATACGTATATTGAAAGCTTGTAAGCAGTCTGTATTTTTATGTAATATACATTTTTGCAAACTCTATAGCAGTATTCAAATGTTTCTTACTAGCAACAAGCAATTTAGATACTGATATCTGAGTATTTCAGCTTTATCCAGCTGCTGCAAAAAGACAAAGAACAGTTCCTTATCTGTTTAATTTGTGTGAGCAATGTAAATTTTTTTTTTTTTTTTGCTTGTTTTGTGTTAATATAGTAAATTCTTTAATATGTTTGTTTTAGAGTTACTCAAGAATATAGACAAAACCTTGTCAAGTCAGCCAAGCAGGCATGTGAACAATCTAAACAAAATATAAGAAAAGTACGGCAGAAAGCAATGTCTGATATCAGAAAGAATAAAAAAGGAAGAGCAGAGGATGATATCAAACTTGTGGAGAAAATGGTGAGCATTCATAAAATATCCTGATTGCATTCAGTTGACCTATTTAACAATCTTCATATATGTGTGGTTGAGTGATTGATGAATTGATGTCACATGAATATTGAATGCAATAGATATAGAAGAGGATATTACATGGGCATGCAAAGACAAGGATTTTATCATCGAGTGCTTAAAAATAGAGAAAACAGATTTTCAACACAAGAAGATAAAATGCGTATGCCAAAACAACCATGTGATATTTAATTTATGATGTATAAATTACCTATGAAATCAAATTATGAACTGTAAAAAAAACAGTAATTTTTATTTACCACCAATGCATCGAGGTACRCTATGCTACCCTCTCTCACTCCTGAAAGATCTTTTCAACACTCGAAGATAAAATCTGTATCTACGCACACCCAAGTAATATCCTCTATATAACAACTTTATAACAACAAAGTGACAAATAATGATAAATTAATTTCTTGTATTACTTTAACCCAGGTGCAGCAACTTACAGATGAACATACTAGTGATACAGACCTTTTAATAGAAGCAAAGACAAAGGAACTTTTAAGAAAATGACAATACCAATTCATGTTATTTTTAATGGTGACAGACAAGCATCTGGTTTTGATTGATTTTTAGTTTGGGGAAATAAAGTAACACGTGATTGTCCATCAAGGGTAATTACTATTAAGATTTTGACATCTTGAATCATACCCTGTATCTACCTTTGAAGAATTAAATCATTAATTATRTTTAAATTAGGCATCAGACCAAATGAGACCAGATTTTCACAGCTAAAGAGAACTTTCGTTTGGGAGAGTAAGAGTAAATATGACATCCCAGCTCCAATATTATTTCAGAATAAAATTTCAGACATTAGAGCCATCAAGCATTTATTATTGAAAACTACTTTAAAATTATTTACACTTTTGTTTAGGTATTGTTTTTGTTTTTTGTTTGTTGTTTTTGTTTTTTTTACATTAAACACGATCACACTTAACCACATTTTTAAATGAGAAGCACGCTCAGTATGCTTCTCTAGATTTAATTTTGATATATTTTTTTTGTGTTTACATACAGCAATTCATAATGAAAAGACAAAAGAAAAAGAAAAATAATACTCCAATTTCRAGTTCTGGCTTGCTCTGTGTTAGCCTCAAAACCAAGCAACATAATCTTTTGTTTCATTGATAGCCAGAGAAAACGCATGGAATTTGAAAAGAAAGACAATAGCATTCATTTGAAATCTCACACTTTTATTCTCACAATTAGGAATGTTTTGCGCACAAATGAGGCTAACACAGAGCATTGGCGAATTCGAAACTGGATTATTGAGTATAACTGTAAAAGTAAGGTTTGATAATTAAGGACACAGCCTTTGGAAAAACTAAAACAAGAAAAATGCTTATTCAAAAAATTCTTTGAAATTCTTCTTAGAATTCTTTTAAGAATTCACAATTTAAAAATTGTGCTTTTTTTTATTTTCACTATGGCCAAGAAGATTAGAATATTCTTGTATTCAGAGAGCAAAACCACTCCCTGGTACCTTCCCCTCCCTTACAGTGGCTAATGACCGCTGACCAGTCTGAGCGAAGGCTTTGACTGTCAGGCCACCGACCTGTCCAGGCCACCTAATAATATCTTATTCTGGAATGAGAGGCAAATAACCGTGGAATGGTAATGAACTTTCAATTAGAGTATTAGATGTTGTCTAATAGAAGGTAATAGTAAAAATGCCGCCTTGTGAAAAATTCCAAGAGCAAAAAGATGACTCGATTTCGAGTGATTCGAGAAAGTCGGCGAAGAAGGCAGACGGAGCGAAGGCAGAGTTGGCCAGTGGATACACGAAAGGTGAATTGATACATAAAGCTTTGTCTAACCCATATTCGATGATTGCTCGAATGGTTCATTTTCTTAACTTATATGAGAACTTGTATTTTAGAAATCTACMGCAGTTTTCAACTGAACGCGCTGTTGCACAACTTTTACGATCGTTCGAGCTTGCATCGCTGATCCATTGTTTATAGTTTTATTTATTAATTACCTAATAGATCAGAGAGCTAGTTGAAGTATTACTGAGAGATTTCATATTGAACCTTTAACAGTGGGTTCCTTTTCTTATTTTATTTTTTTATTTTTTCGCCACTACAACTACATCTCGAATATTGAACTTTGCCCCCATCTCTGTTAAACTACTTACTCAAGTGGAGGCGTGAATGATACTATACTGAGCTCTTTTCATTTTAGTTTAGAAATCATATTTTTATGATCTAAACAATAGTTGGACTGCATGATTCTTTAAACATATTAAACACTCGACTGAACAATAATAGAACATAGACACCAAAGACTACATAAATAGGAAATTACATAACTCCCCTATATTTGCTATAGGGCTATGTGCYGCTCGATAGGGTCCCTTTTTCGGAGCTCCAAGTCGGGGATAGGGTGTCATTTTTACCCATTTGTCTGGGATGGGGTAGTAGTTTTGTCTGAGATAGGGTTGTTCTTTTGTCTTGGATAGGGTATAGTCTCATTGTCTGGGGTAGGGTGGAGTTTTGCTTGTGATCGTATCTGCGAGGAGACGCTTTCAGTGCTAAAATAATGTACCTTTGCACCTTTAGTCTGGGGTAGGGTATGTAAAATCACAAAAATTGAGGAGAGTGTATCAAAGCAAGGAAATGGACTTTAGCTTAATCGAAGATAATTGTTGACATAGCAATATATTACCTGTAGCACATAATTTTGCTGTAACCAAGCCTTTTTGTTGTTGTCTTTTGTCATTGTGAGGAAAAATGGTTATTTTCAGACCTTTTATATTGAGAATAATGAAGTTTGATAAATYTTTGAGTGATACACAGTTTTTCCCTCTTTCATGCATGAAGAATTCTCAACTTTCAGGCATGTTTTTCACAGCAGAAGGCAAGACAAATTAAAGAGCCATTTGAAGTTTGAGGGGTAGTTTCATGAAAGGTGGTTAAACCAYCTCCTACATAGGTTTTTAATAATAATCAATAACCAATAATCTTTTAGGTCTGTACTGTTTACTTACAGTGGATTCTTTTCCTTTCAGAGAAAAGAGCTTTGGAGATGTTCAGTATAACCTATTTTGTGGTCGTCATGTCTATATTTACTGTCTGCTTAGTTTTGAATTTTCATATTTCACGGTTAAAGTATATCATCCTTGCAATTTGTGAGTATTAAATAGAATCTGTTAATGTCAATGTGATAACAATGTATGAAAACATTGAAGACATATATAATATATGTACAAACTTCAATCCAATTTGTCTGTTCTGGCTTTTACAGTAATTGTATACAAATAAAAAAATTTCCACAAAAGGTACCAACTCAAACAAAATGGTAGCCTAAACAACTGGTTCCATCATGGAACTTCCATGATATGCTCTCAAAATACAAGCTGCCATTATTATTATTATTATTATTATTATTATTATTATTATTATTATTATTATTATTATTATTATTATTATTATTATTATTATTACTAACATTTTTTTTAATTAATGTTTGTTTGTTTTAGTTTGATTTCAGTATTTGTAAATTCATTTATATACATATATCATATATATATATATTTTTTTATCAATTCAAGTAGCCAGTTGTAAATTGCCTATACGTAGTGAGATTTTCAACTGTATGAATCTATAAACAAATAAAGTTTCCATTATTATTATTATTATTATTATTATTATTATTATTATTATTATTATTATTATTATTATTATTATTATTCATATTTTATGAATCTCATTTCTATACCAAGAATGTCATATGATTAAGCAAACCCTTTATCAGTTGAATATGTATGTATCAGTGACTTTATTCATGTTTATGGAATATGATAACCTATTCCCCATCAGCATGTTTATGGAATATGATAACCTATTCCCCATCAGCTCATTTTAAAACTCCTGATCACTTTAAGTGACTATGAGCAAGTTATGTTTTTTTTCAGTTGGTGGAATTCTTACAGCAGATTTCATGTCTGGTCTTGTTCACTGGGCAGCTGATACTTGGGGATCTATTGATATTCCTATTTTTGGCAAGGTAACATTTTATGTTTTGTGTATGTCAWCATAGATTCTACCCTTTTGAACATCCTTTGAATTTGTATTAAGATGCAGCAAGTAGATTGTGTATCCATTTCACTTGGCTTAATGGCAGCATTTGTAGTTTCAAAAATTATCTTCATCTTAATCATGTATTTTTTGGTTTGTTTGTTTTTGTGTGTTTTGTGTTTGTTTGTTTGTTTGTTTTGCTTGCTCTTTAAGCATTGATTGAGGCAGTTTSATTACTATTTTGGTTCCAGGCTTTCATTCGACCTTTTCGCGAGCACCATGTTGACCCGACGGCCATCACTAGACATGACTTGATTGAAACCAATGGTGATAATTGCATGATATGYCTTCCTGTTCTGACTGTTGTCACACTGAAATACTGGCTGGCCAGCCAAGAAACCATTGATGCCKGGTATTCCTGGGATTGTTTTATCTATGCACTTGCCATTTTTGTCATGTTAACCAACCAATTCCATAAATGGTCTCATACATACTTTGGTYTACCATGGTGGGTGGAGAAGYTACAAGACTGGCACATAATCCTACCAAGGCTTCATCATCGTATTCACCATGTATCACCACATGAGACCTATTTCTGTATTACAACTGGATGGCTGAATTATCCTCTRGAGATCATTCGGTTTTGGCCTATTTTAGAATCTATCATCACCATGGTTACTGGAGCCATGCCTAGGTCTGATGATTTGAACTGGGCTTCCAAGAGCAAGTGAAGTGTGTTAACAACATGATCTAAGGATAATTAGTCAGTTTTTACTTTTATATGAAAGACAATGAATGCAATKCAACCCGTTAGAGTAAAGACTTTAAACCAAAAGTTACAAGATGACCAAAAAATGACAATTTATTGTTTTTCCCATTGAAACAATACTCAAGGTTAATTGATATTAGAGGGAAACTGTGTGCATTTTTAATTTATACATGATGTGCTAGAATGTAAACAATTCCTATCAAGTTGTCTTTTTTTTGTGCACATGCATGCATACACTTAAAAGTGTTTTATTTTCAAGGCAGAAGTGTTTGAAAGTAATTTTGTGTTGATTTTTAAGTACTTTCTTTAAAGATTGTAAGCCATTCTTGTGACATACAATCTCGCAGTCAGATTATGTGTTTGCATGCATGGTGTTCTTGCTTAGTTTCTGCCTTATTTTTATAGTATTGTGGTCTTTGTCCTTACAATTATGAAATTGAAAAAAAATTCTAACCCATTGGAAGACTATCCTAAACACATGCAGTTTAAAATCTATAACATTTTACAGAGTCTTTACACGACTACAATAGATAATCATGACAAAAATACTAATTTCACCAATTTTTAGTGTACGGCATTTATTATATTAMATGAACATCAAATTGGTCAAATGGCATCTCCTACAAGCTGATGAATACAGTTATATATAAGAAAAACTTGTGTTATTATAATGCTCTATGAATGGAGATATTGTAAGATTCAAAAAAATCTGACAGATGGAAACTGATGGGATTRGAATTTAAAGTCACCACTTTTCAACATATGAATAATCTAAAGTATGACTGCATTGCATGCTGGTTGAGCATGGCCCTATAAACAATACAACAAAGAAGCTCATAAACTATTCACCTGTATTTCTATAACATTTTATCATCTTATTTGATGTTTCCCTGTTTGACAATTGATTCTTATCCAAGAAAAAAAACGCAATTACTATCCTAAACAAATATCCATTCACCCAATGAACATTCAGAATTTTTAAGTTATGGCAGGTTAGCCATAAGCGACCYGACCTTAGTTCCACCTTTTCGTCTATCTTTGGGTTATGTCGCGTTTAGACCACGGGAAGTTAAGAATTCGAGATTTTGGNGGGATTAGATTGCGGATTTACTTCAACAGATCTTTTATTGATATACTTCTTTGACCAAAACTCAGATGCTTGTGAGCTGCTGCTACTACACATCAGTTGGCAATGTTTTTTCATTTCAACGAGCTTGGACCGCGCTGGGCTTCCCCTTATAACTCTGGCACTAAATCAACCGAACGCATTATTGGGGAGATCAGGGAAAAACGACTGAGATACAKTCCCTTGATTCTCAGCCAACCTTTGGGGACATGCTTCACAAATCTACTAAGGTGCAGTATAACATCAATGTGAAACATGGCCTTGCCTTGTCTGGAGCTAAAGTGAGATYCTCTCATAAAAGGAAAAAGATGGCTTTCAAATACAAAGGCAGCACAGATGTCGAGCACGGCGTATATCCTGATACTTACAGTGAATTCAAAAGAGCTCAAATTMAAGGTYACGAGGATGGTGTCAAAAGSGCACAAGCTCTTTTTGAAAACTATATGCCGCCACAATGCATTGAAAGACTCAAAGCCGCCAAAARGTGGGATAAGCCCTACACATATGAGATGCTTAAGAATTGCAAAGTCGTAGACGAAGCCCCATCTAATAAAGACTTTAACAAGCTTGATATGTCGTTTGCAAGCATTGTTAAAGATATTGAACCGGCATCTGATCAAATTGAAGATAAAATGGAAGAAGAAATGATTGAAGAAGAACCAGATCAAGAGTTAACGGACAATGACAAGGACACTGAAGACGACGACGACCTGGATAGCACTGTCGATAGCGGCGAGACCAACAGCAAATGGATGCTAAGCAAAATGGCAAATGGTAAAATAACTTATATCCACATCAGACGAGCAATTAAACTTCTTATCCCGTGTGAATATATATCACGAAGTCGACAGCAACGACACTGGGCAAAAAAGCATCTACCAGGAAAGGAGCCCATCAATGCGAAACATGACATCTCTAAGTACTCCAACGTAGGTAAAGCGCAACAAGAAAAGAACCTACCAATTAGGCAGAATCGAAATGATTCAATCTGAGGCAGACAGCAAAGAAGTATTGAGTTTCGAGACGAAACGGAAAACATCCGGTCTCCGTTTGCGTTGCTCAGTATACAATGAAGACGAAAATGGCGTCTACTATATTCCCGAAACAGTAACTCTGACCGCTTGGAGGAGTGTGAACAGTGCGGTGATTTGCCCAATAGATCTTGTACCAGTGCCAGAGAAAAGTGGCCGTTACACACTTCATCCAGACTCTTTGGAAAATCTTCAAAAACTTGGTTTTTCCAATGACAGCCAGCAAGATGACAGTTGTAACGGTGGCGAGGAAGAAAAAGAAATCTCTGTACCGCAAGACTTCTATGAAGTCGAAGACGTCATTGCAAGTCGCTTGTCAAAAGACACTCTAGCGACTTAGTACAAAGTAAGATTTAAGGGATATGGACCAGAAGATGACATGTGGCTGCCATCCTCTTTTTTCAACAGGGCATTGAAGTTTGAATCTACATCGCGTTTTGGAAGAAAGAGGAAACACACGGTAGATCCAAACAATGTCCAGGTGTGCTCAAAAAAAAAGAGCCAGAACTGAGTCAAAGGATCCGATCGAAGAGAAAAACGACAAGGCCGATTAAAATGAAACAAGAAAACCTAAGAAAGGAAAATCAGAAAGAAAATCTGCCACAAAACAGCCCGTTACTGAGAAGCCGGTAAAGAAAACTAAGAAAAAACAAACCAAAGAAGATAAAGGAAAAGCTTTCCGTTCGTCCCTGAACACAAAAGATGTTACAGCTGAAAAAGACCAGGGAAAGAAAAAGTCGAACGTCGACCAATCTTCAACCAACAGAAAGACAACAACAAGAGATACGTTGGTTGAAGATATTCTTCGTATGGACGACAATTTTAAAACTCCACGACGTATTCTTGCCGATGCTAATTTACCTGGTGTGGACTTCAGATTATCGAAATATGCCAAGTGTGTACAAAGCCAATGTGCTCTTACCGATCCTCTTCAAGTTTCTAAACTACCCCCACTCTCAGTCTTAAAGGAAATAGCACAGCAATTCAGAGATGAAGCCCCTAGTACATTTACCGTTAAGTTTGTGTCTTTTGGTCATTTCGATAAAGAGGGCATAAGAGTCCTGGAAAGATTCCATCGCATAAAGATGCTGAAACAGGAGGTCGAATTTGAAAAACAATGGGTTGACGACAGTTTTCGCAACATTGGACAGCAGGAGAAAGACGAAGTAATCAATGCTCTCCTTGACAGATGGAACAAAGACAACAAGTACCTCATTTCGTACAATAACTATAGGATAACCAGTCAAGAGTACTCAAGAGTACTTGTTGTGTGGAGAAAGATATCTCTCTGACGAGATCATAAACCTATTTTTGCAAAACTACTGTGACATTGCAAACAGCAAGAATGGCCAATGTAATTATATGCTTCTACCTTCATTTCTTTCTACGGGAAATATATCAGTAAACCTTGTGCAATTCAGTTGCAGCATTATTAACATGGACGAGGTGGATGCAATTCCCGTGCACATGTTTTCTTGCCATTGGGGACTTGCTGTCTTTCAGATCAAGGAACAAACAATCTACTTTTTCCATCCTATAGTTCTAAAACAGCTAACAATCAATTCCAAACAGATTTTAAAGGTAATTCATACCGAAAAAGGGCTGAAACAGTTTAATCCCGAAAAATGGAATGAAATACATATGTTTCCGATTCCAATGCCAGACCAACCTCGCAGTTACAAAATTGGATCTGGAAGTTGTGGAGTTGCCGTGATCTGTGCAACAAGAGATATCATCAATGGCCTTAAAACATCTTACACGTGGTCGTATAGCGACATGCCGTACATACGAGCGCAACTAATGGAAAATTTCTTGAGAGTATAACAGAACCTGAAAAACTACCAATCTGCCACCAATGATAATGTACCAACGAACTGTGCCATTACCTGGCATTCTCCTGTCATCAACAAGTGTTCTTCATCAATTAATGCGTCATCAAATGCTCTCTTTTTTTGTTATTCTATACCATCAATGTACCAACGAACTGTGCCTTTACCTGGCATTCTCCTGTCATCAACAAGTGTTCTTCATCAATAAATGCGTCATAAAATGCTCTCTTTTTTTTGTTATTCTGTACCATCAATGTACCAACGAACTGTGCCTTTACCTGGCATTCTCNTAGCAGCCAAAGGGATTACATAACGATAGTTGTCACATTGTTCGATCGAACTACGAATACAAATGCACATACCGTCCTTGATAGAACCAAAAAACTAGAAATATCGAGCTAGGAGTAATATCCTGTCTAGCCCGACTTCACGCTCTGAGAGCGTCTAGCTCAAGTATATTCTGTACTTTTATGACAAATCGTGGGTATAAATTTGAAATATAAACAACCCTATAGCGATACTCAATGTGACGTAAGCCTTTGTTATTCATGCGCCAACCAGAAGACGATGTCAGAACAAAGCGACTTATGATCATGTTGTAACATTAACATAATAATGACTTTGTTGATAAACATTGAGAATCGCTATACAGAGATATATTTAAATAAGTTAGCGGCCAGAATGTCGTCAACTGACTGTAAGCTTAATTCCTTAAATTAGATTTTTTTAATACAAATAAAAGAAATGCTTTTCCATCTTCCCATGAAGCATAGCGCGGATGGAACACCTTGTGATTGATAACCCTTTTTACATTTAAACGTTACTCGATCACCGGACGCATACTTGGACTTAGGATTATCAACGAAGGCATTAAGAATTACAGGGTTCTTGCAGTCTGGAACTAAAAAATACTGATTGCGTTAACTTGCTGATTTAGATAAGAAGTATTAGGGGAAGTACAACTTACGGCACTTTGGAGTAGGTTTCTCCCATCTTTTCTTGGCTGTACACCTTTTTGTTTTGTCATCATTTAAAGTGAAGCCATTTTTACACCAGTAGCGGACTGTAGCGTTGTAACCGGTAGAATTAAACTGCTTAAAACCGTTGTTTATACTTGGTGGCACTCCACAAGAAATCCCTTTAAAACAAAATGTAGATATATTTATTTTTTCTAATGATTTCAGTTCAGTTAGAAACGTAAACAGCAGTCTGTACCTTTACATTGAAATTGGAACGCAGTCCAACGTCCAGACATACATATTCTGTAGGGATTTCCGCTTTGTTTGAAACCCGTCTTACAACCAATCTGTATGCGGTCTCCTGTCTTGTACATTGACTTTATTATGGACATAACATAAGCACCAAATGGCAGTACTGGCTGTGTACATGCTGGCACTGAAGTGACAATACGTCATGAGAAGAAATTAATCCAATGAAAGGAAAAACAAACAGAGTAATTGCAATTCTTACTGCAAGTAGGCCCAACGCCATCCCATTCCCCTTTAGCCGTGCATCGTTTCTTGGGAGACCCGTTCAAAGAGTATCCCCGATTGCAAGTGTACGTTGCAACGTCGTTAAAACTATTTCCAGTTGTTGTGAACTTGGCATTTCTAACCTTGGGAGGAGGTTTACATTGAAGACCTGCGTCAAGGAAATGATTATAATTAGGCTGATTGTGTTGGATCATTTACAGCTGCCTGGTTTTATAACCTCAATACCTTTTTTAACGCAGCTCAAACCACATTGACCATCACATTGACATTGTGAATTACCAGGACATT